ATATATATATATATATATCCTTATGATTTTATATGATTATATATATGATTTTATCCTTATGTAAAAACAGTAATAAATCCAATTCCCGCCTATTCAAAATTTTAATGTCTTCCTAATTTTTCAAATTTGATTCTACATTATTAACACGCTCAAAAATATTTTTGTCAACCTTCGATTATATGTTGCCCTATTGGTGTACTTTCTTCATTTTTGTAACCTCGTTATTACAATCGTTTGCTTTTATTCTGGATGATACTTACTCTGCATTCACGATTCCCTAGATAGTTCGGTTTAAAGTTTTCAATTTGTTGCGCGCGTGGATTAGACAGATTCGACAGAACTGGTAATGATGAACTGAAGCAATTTCCTCAGTCTTACGGTACCGTCAATCGTTTTTATTCACCAAATATTCACCATACAAAAATCACACACAACGCCCTTTACGACCGAATCCCTAGTTTTATATGAATTCCTGTACTCAAGCATTTTTCCTCTGAAAGTTGTATTGACTTTGTTCACTATGACCGATGATGATGCGTTCATTTATTGGAATCTACCAGTGCTTAAATGATATGTTCATCTGAACCACTGTAACCAAAAATCTTCACTGTAAACAAAAATTAACAAGATCCCGAGTCTACGGTACTATTATTACTTTATTATTATTATTATTATTATTATTATTATTATTATTATTATTATTTTATACATTATTTTATAATTCCAAACTTATAAACTTAGCAATAGTATTAAACGAAAGTTTTAATTTTTTGTAGCCTTGGATCCGTTAACAGCATCGTCTCGGCACTCTCCAGCCGCATTCTCTATATTGATCAAAGAGAAACGGTGAGCATTACGAATCTTTATGACAACAGAACCATCAAACTTAAATATACCTCCCATAATATTGATACTAAAATTACACTTGAAAATGAAGAATACCTCGCTTTTTTTTTATTTCCAGATTTTTTGATAGATCATTTCAATCATTAATTAACTCTCGTTTATTTGTAGCTGGTGAAACTTATAGAAGACAGATGGTGGGATGGATTAAGCAGTGTCGGAGAGTCCGCTCTGCAAACTGTTGATCGCAACTTCGACTGGCTTGGGGACCATGCAGAGACTATAATAGCTATCGTCGATGAGAAAACTGATCCTTCTCCAACAACAACACCAACCACCACTACACCCACAACCACCACACCGACCACCACTACACCACCAACAACCACACCGACCACCACTACACCAACAACAACCACACCGACCACCACTACACCACCAACAACCACACCCACCACAACCACACCCACCACAACCACGCCTGCAACCACTACCACCACACCCACAACCATCACAACCACATCATCTCCCACAACGACAGCGGAACAGACTACCACCACCGAGGAACCAAGTTCGACGACTGATGGTGTAGCAGGAATTGCAGCTGGAGTTTCACACTTGATTCTTCTCTTATCAGCTCTTCTACCGCTCTTAACTTTTTTTCGGAGCAACTGAATTAACTTTCCTTGTGTAAATACTGTTGATTTGGTACAGCACACAATCTTGACTCTTAAAATATTAAAGTTTTTATTATTTAACATTACAAAACATTTTGTAGTATTTCATTATTTTTGTACAAGTAAATATTAAAAAGTATTTTTCATCAATAAATGCAAAAGTTTATTTCATTCTTACTCGCCTTTAATGAAGCTTCATTCGTCAAAAAAATTGGAATGAAAGTTATCATGAATGTTATGGTTTTGTTAGAGAATGAGGAACTCGGGGAAAATAAGAAAACTATTAAATAATTTTGATTTTGACTTAACTTTTTTGACTGGAAATTTTGTATTGTGTTATTCGGCCTCTTTTTACACTGCGCGAATCTAATGATTAACGTACATCACTGTTTACGAAACAGTTCACATCTTGCGATAACAAGATTCCAAGGAAGATACCCAAGCATATATTCTGTTCACATGTTGCGGTATGGAACAGCCGCACCTTTTCTGTGTCATTGTAGTATTCGTTGAAGGCTTCTGGTTAAAATATTTATTTTATTGCAGGATTTCAATTGAGTATTTATTTTGTTGTTCTTAAATGGTGTGCGTGCTACTTTTTTTAAATCAAAATAATATTAAATACGTCAAGACATAATTTCATATTGTTACATGGTTCCCCCAAATTGTAAAAGTCCTGAATTCAGTTTCATATGATTTATAACACCCTAACAAAATAACATTTTCTAATTTTGTATGTGTCTTCAATAATGTGCTTTAAAAACATTGATTTAACAAGAAATAGTGGCAAATATTAAGATGCTCCTCTTCAAGTGAAAATTAAATGTCTTTTTTAATCAATATATTTTCCAATTCTTTCTTTAGTTATAAATGTTAAATAAAAAATATTAAATAATTACTAAGAAGCAGAAACTAAGTAGTTTAAGGTTTGATTTAATTACAAGAATTTACTTTACAGATAAAGTAGAAACTTTGCGGCAAATTGATAAAGAATGTTCTTAAGTTGTGTAGGTTTAACTACAATATTATTCAAATTACGTTTTAGAATACAGTTTTCTTAAAACCGTCTAAATATTATTTATAATATTCTAAAACATTTTCTTACACTATGAAGAAAATCTTGTTATTTATTCTGTTTTTTCAGTATCTTATGTTTCAAGGTCAAACAATTATTTAATATATAACCAGGCATTTGTATGTAATGTAATTTTTGTTATTGAAATAACTTTTTTATATTGCCAGTACATTTCTATAACTTAAATTACATTAAATACAATGAACTGGTTACGTATGAAATAATTCTACTGATTGTCTTCAAACTGAAGATACTGAAAATAACAGAATTTATTAACAATCAATCTAACCAGCTAGCAATATAACCGATATTTTATATTGATATTTTTGTATCAGAAAAATAATTGAAAACAAACACCATGTGAAGTCATAGAACGATCTACAGAGTCGCCACTTTTTCGAGAAATATAGTTGAGATTGAAGTAGTATCGTGAAAAGGGAAACTGGAGATAACGTTAGAACATTAGCTTGGATTGAACACAAGGAACATGGTGAACAAATTAGATATTTAGTTATTTTTATAATTGTGTACTACATTCAGTGTGTTAATACAATTATAAATACACAAATACATGTAGATCACATTATCTTAACAGTAAGACAAACACACTGAAGAACAGTCAACACACATTATAATTTTCAAGGTAATGTCACTGAATTACTACTAATGTAATGATGTTTCCAACACAATCACACATTAACTGAGGAACTGAGCTACTTTTTCAAACTAAGTGGTCGCTTGTGAAAAAAGTACCAAATTTGCCCCTAAATTATTCAAATGCCAAAGAAAAAATTCCTTTTTTAAATACTCATTACCTCAAAATGCAGTGCAATGAGCGTGCTGGGAACTTTTTCTCACCATATGCAAATATCTTCCAAAAATTCCACTCGCGATAGTTTCACCGTCCACAGAACAAGAGAACTTTTCTGCGACGAATAAAAGTGTGCGTAAGAATTGTACGATAAAAAGTCACTCAACGTGACGTGATAGGTGTTTCGAATCGAAACAGGGAATGTTGAGAAGGCAATGATGTGGAGGGCCCCATGTGTCTAATGGCAAACGAAAGGACTCCCTGCCACCCACTCAAAAAGAAATCACCAGAATGGAGCACCACTCAATTAAACAACTTACACTGCGTCAACAACGTTTCTTTTAAAATCATTTTAGCGATAAAAAATAGTAATTCACTGGTAAAGACTCCATGTCATAATGAATTGGATTAAAGATATACCTTAAACGTAATACCATATTTAACATTTTATCGAAAAGTGAACATAAAACGACAAATTATATTGCTTAATCTAGTTTTGTTTACCAACATACAGAAGAAGAAACGCAAAATAAGCAATGGATTTTTTTAAAACAATCTATGATCGAAAAAAATAAATTAAATCCTGTCAACTGTTAAAAAAAGGTCTCCCGCTTCAAACGCTCGCTTCCGCAGGGGCAGGCAGCGGGCAGCGGGGGGGCAGGGTGCGCGGTGGGGGTGGGGTGAGGCGGCGGCGGGGGCGGTGCTAAGCGTGGGCGGCGCGGGGTGCGGGCGCCCGTCTCCGCTGTGAGCCATTGCACGATGGGCTGGTAGCTGGGCGCCGCATTCCCAGCGCACGTTGGCCTCCGCCTGCTCCAGCGCCTGCTCCACGGCGCGCGTCGCCGTGCCCAGCTCCGCGCGGTGGGCCGTCGCGAACTGCGCCAGCTGCAACACGCGCGCGCCCAATTCCATCAGCGCTCCGACACACGCACGCACACGCAACACGCGCGCGCGCCCGATGCTGTCAACGCTCCGACACACACGCACGCACACGCGCGCGCGCGCGCCCGTGCCGTCAGCGCTCCAACACACACACACACACGCAACACGCGCGCGCCCGATGCCATAAGCGCTCAGACACACATGCGCGCGCGCACACATACACACACACAAACGCAAGAGTTGCGGCGGCGATGGTTAGCGTATTGGACTGTTATAACCGGGTTCAAACCCGATCGAAGGCGTGGATTATTAAGGGCGAGAATATCCTTCGTTAGCCTTCCTTCCGAGAGAAGTAAAGCCGGCTGTCCCATGTCAGTAGATTTATTGCATGTAAAAGATCCTCAAGCCCATATAATCCTTTGAGCCAATTGTAGTCCAAGAAATACCTTCTTTCTCACCTTGTTGGTAAAAGGAGCGTACCGAAATATGCGTGGTCACACGGAAGAATGGGCCTCATGGCCTGAGTCTCACCACGTAAAATAAGGCATCAATTGAATTCAAGTGATGCCGGTACCCTGGCTCATAATAAATACTGCACACTGCAATATACCAACAGTTCAAGAAAAGATTCACGAAATGAGTTCAAACTATCACCAATGTCTGGAAAATAATCCCAATAATCTAGTTGTAAACCAACTAGACAATAGCCAAGAAACGTCTCGACTAAATAGAATCACCACTGTTCATCTCCTCTCCGTTTTAATAATTAACATTTTTCTAAACAATGTTCTCTTATTTTGCTCTAACATGTTCATATACTGGTTGCGTAGGCTTCCGCGGCCGGAGTTTATGTTGGCTGGGCTATCTGGGGCCACAATACGCTGGCCGAAACGTTAGCCACCATGACATTGACGCGGCTCGTCCCGGATAGCCCAGCCAACATGTTCATATACTCTTAATCCTCATAACCGTTAACAACAGTGCAATCATGTTGTAATTATCTTTTTATTATAGATTTGAAAAGGATGCCAAGAAAAGTGAAAATGAGTGAATTTCTTCATTTCATTTCATTTGATGTTGTTTACATTTATAGTATTTTCTTATTATTTCACATTTTAAATAGTAAATATTCTTTGAATAGAAAAACGCAAGTGATAACAACGACAAGGTATTCGGAAAAAGGGAAAATTGCGTTCCAGAGCCAATAGTGCAGCGTATCTATGAATTTCGTCCCGCAACAGTGTTTGCTCCAGTGGGCGCACGCGATCACAGGATTTTCTAACAATTTCAGCTGCAGCTGCTTTCCACTCCCTCAATGTCGTTGTCGCTCTCCTTACTCTTGAGCATTGTCAAATAAAATACGAAGTTCCAACAAAAAGACAATATATTGTAACCAGTATAAAGTTTTGGGCTAATCAATCGGCAAACGGTTATCTGCTCCGCGTTCGCGAATATCTTGTTCTGTATTCTTGAACCATCGATTAAATATATCTCATACCTTCCCCAAGGTTTCATCAATTCTCTAAGCACTTGAAGACACTAGTATTTAAACAACTATTTCCTTTTAAATATTACGACTTAAAATGATAATGCAAACATCTCTTTCGGACTCTGGCCAGCCTCTCCCTAAACAAACTTGATTCCTTAGCAACCCATTATATTACTCAATTGTACCTTCCCTTATGAGTTGATGCAATCCTATCAAGTTCATTTTTATTTCTTAACAAATCGATTGAGTTAAAATAATGCTATCAAAATAAAACCACCTTCATATGTGTATGATACGCAGCTTTTCTAAGTTATCAAATGAACTAATGCAGTGTTATTTACGAATTTTTTGGAGACTGTCATAAGTGTTTTCGTAATATTTATTAAAACAAGATTATTGATTTGAACTACAAAACATAAGTCCAACTGCATCAATATAGTAATTGTTCGTCATAATTGGCTCTCTTTTGGTTCCTTACGTTGTCTCGGCTAACGTTTCTCTCGCGAATTTAATATTTTTACTCTCTGATAGCAAACACTACTTCTATCGTTACAGAAAAGCAAGTTTCAATAAAATATCTAAATATTTCAAACATCCTCAAATACAATACTTCTTACATTTTTTTAAAGAGATTATGGTCAAGGAGACGTAACAATATCGAAATTACATGTTTTTTTGTCATAACTTATGGTTATGTAGTAAATTTCCACAAAAATGCAATGTTTAAAAAATAAATATCTCTTAATATTAATAAATAGTACACTGATAAGAAATAGTCATAATCAACAGAAATGTATTTTCTTTAATAAACTAAGAGTGCGACACTCAAGTCATTTTAATTTCATTGATGTATTGATTATCGTAAGAAATCAAAGGTATAGTTTCTTTGGACTCAAAGTGTTGATTCCTACACATGACAGTTATTTTCTTATATTTAAACAAAATTAAGAAAGCATAAGACCCATCTTTGAGATAATGTATTAAAAGTAGGGAAACCGTAATAACATTGCAGCAATAAGCTGCCTACATTTATAGAATCGTAATTTTATAGAAGCACTTACGTCATCCAACTCGTATTGAGTATTAATTCGTCTTGTACAGCTTCGCACGATATTGTTGATAGTAAACAGCGACGCACCCAAACTAGGAACACAGAATTCAACATGTAGAAGACTGAATGTAAATATGTTTTAAATAAGGTAAGTGAAATTTAATTAAAATTCCCATCAACACTAATGTTGGTCTAAATATGAACTACCACACTCAGGTAAATATAATAGCCTTGTGAAAATAAGTGCCATTAGTACATTTTTTTGATATCCGGAAAGCACGAATTTATTGTTAGACTCGAAATTCACATTCAATTGTTATTGAAGTAAACTGTGAAAGTTCAAAAACTGTGAAAACATAAATGCGGATATACGAGTCTCGCTATGGACTATTACATTGTATTTTTTGTTAAAATGTTTGATCCTAGGCTATAAAATCTACAATGACAATACTAGTTTTTTTTTGTGTTTGAAGTAAAAATTTTGTATTTTGAAGTCTTGAACGACATTCTTATGATTCTTTAAAAAAAATGATATTCAAGTCAACTACTTTATTTGACTTATTAATTAAGTAAAAATATGTTTACAAGTAAAACAACCATCTTTATTTTAACGTAACGTGTAAGTCATGACTTCGTTGTTTTTACTTTTAATTTTTATAATTAGAAATGTCCGTTTCTACCTGAAGATATGGATAAATCAACTAAAATTTTCTTATGGTGATGATAAAAACAGTTCACATGTATATTAAATCAAATGTTTAACTTTCTTGTATAGCTGATTAGAATTTATAAGCAAAAACTGCACACTTAAGACATGTGAAAAATGTACCTGTCCTTATCTGAAGATCTGTGATGAACATATTTCATTAAGAAAAAAATATATCTTAATTATTATATTTGCAGGAAGACGTCGACAAAATTATGAACTTCTGCATTTTTCGGAAATTCACGGAGTACAACAAAAATACAACATACGATTTTTGCATCTTTTTTTTCTATCCGAGGGGGAAAATTAAGAAGCAACCTGAGCCATTTTTAAGAAAATTTTTTAAAATGTTCACAACAAAGTTTTGTTGACATCAATCGGATAGATCGGGGAATATGAATTTTGGTTTGGTTAATCGATTTTTCAGTATCAAGAACCAACAAGATGTTCATTACGACTACACAACCTAATAGAGGAATTAATTTACTATTTTCAGGAACAAGATTGATCCACATTTTCGTTACCAGAGCCCTGTAATAAGAGTTTTTCTGTCGAAAATTAGTCGTTTTCCCCGCATGATACAAAACAGCAAAAGCAGTAGGTTAAAACAAAAAAAGAAAAGGTCCGGCAATGTAAAAATATTTTAAAGAAATATTCAAAGCACTGAAAGATCACTTTCATCATTTCTGGATAGTGAATAATTAGGTTAAAAGTTTGCGTACCAATTCCTTTTTTAATTTCTTAACAAACAATTTTTAACAAGGGTATTAATAAAAATAAATTTGTAGAGTCTGCAGTACAGTCTGCGCTGGACTTCTGCAGGGTTCAATCGGCTGTTAAATAGAAGTGGGTGTGACGATTGAGACGAGGGTGCGGGCACTTACTACTCGCGGATGCGGTCCCATTGGCTGCGCAGGAAGGCGTAGGCGAGGCGCTGGCCAATGACGTTGCTGGAGACGGCGCCGAACACGCGCGCCGCGTCCTGCTTGCGGATGCCGGACTTGTTCGTCACCGCCCACTCCAGGTACCTGCGACACAGTCACCCTCCTCGCTCAAAACGCCTGCAGCTCTGCAGCATCCGGCTCATCCCCTCACGTCCTCGTCAGGCAGGCGACTCAGCTCGGAGGAGTAATGCTGGTGAATGGGTGGAAGGGCGCGTTCGCTCAGTGATAGGGATTCCCAGGATCCACACGTACCTGACAACCTTGGACATGTGATAATGTATATGAAACATAATTTTATACCGATCTTCATGATATTTTGCACACTTGGACTTCAAAATAGGAGGAAGGTCTCTCAATGTGACTTCAAAATAACTAATCCCCTCTTCGCCAACCTAAAAGCAGAAGTAAGTCGCTTTCTCTTAGATTTTTCACGAATAACTGGAAAACAGGAGAAATTAGGCCATAGTGCTTTAGAATTTGCTTAACTATAATACTTCTCAAAAATCAATATTAGTTTCAATCCCCTTTTTACAGACCTCATCCACTCATTATATTCTTGTAGTACATGTATGACTAAAGGCGTTTTGGTGGAGAATAAAAAAAATTCTAATTTTTTTCTGAAAGTTTAAAGGTTACTTCTGCTATTCCATTATACCAATAAAATATGCAGTATTACAAAAGAGTTCTAACACGAAGTATACGACAGTCCATTTCCCTGAATTTAGGCAAAGGGAATCGCTAACGTCCCTACAAGTTTATTTCTTATTATGTATTTATATATTCAATAACTCCACTTTTTGCTCCTTACATTCGAATGATCTAAGTTGCATTGCATTACATTATAGTATAATGATGTGAACGGATTCTCCTTAACGCTGACTGGGGAAGAACTCTAGCGACCGGCTGATCTGATCGATTGTTTTCCGTGTTTTCGTAGATCAATACCAGGCGAATGCCGGAGCAGTACACTAACAAGCCGACCACGGACTGCGCGCGATCTTTCCTTCCTCTGCCTTGTCCTATCCTCACCCCTTACTTACACACGACTAACACTACCCATGTATGCTGGGAGACCGGTCGGGAGCTTAGAGCCTGTCTCGTCTGGGGCGGTGCCCTTCTGGTGAGAGATACCTGGTTGAGGAAAACCCCGCTATCCGGCGGTAGGTCCGCGCCGGATCTCGCCATCCAGCAGGGGACGATAACTATCATCTCCCGAGAGAGAAAAACATACACTACACTTAAGGAACAAAATACCTTAACGTATGACGCGCCGGAAATCTCTAGTAATCAATCAATCAATCGTTTCTCCTTAAGTGGACTCGTTTCTTTCCACAGCCATGTGGTTGGGAGAGCGCTCACCTGCTGAGGATCCACGTCTCCCGCGAGCAGCCCAGCGCGCCCAGCAGCAGGTCGCGCTCCGAGCCCACGTTGGCCGCCAGGTAGCGCTGCCACGCGAAGTCCCACTCCTCCTGGCCGCCCACGCGCAGCGCCGTGCAGTACACCACGTTCTTCAGGTTGGGCGAGATTCTACGCACGCCACGCACCCGCCCTTCAGACCAGCACTCAAGGGAATGGCAACTCACACCATGCCAAACGCGAAGCTTGCCTTGAGCAGAAATGACGAGCATTCGATGGAATGCATTGTTCTACCTCAGCCCCGATTTACAAGTGTGCTTTTGACGAACGACTTGCGGGAGTTTTAGAGAGAGCCTACATCTTCAACGTCATGCCTATGTCTTCTAGAGCAGCAGCGCTGCTATGCCTAAGTACACGTTCGCAAAAACACCTGAAGTCGTTCGCCAAAGGGACGCGCGTAAATCGGATCTAAGATCTGGTTGTAATTACTCAAATCAAACCATTTAAAGATAAAACGTGAATTCGTTTTTGTATTATGTATGAAAATATTTGAATGAATATTATTGGTGCATTAAGATATTATGCATATAATTAATCTATAAAAGAAATATTACAGCGAAAATATTACTATGATTTGTTACTGTTCGAGTGTCAATTCAGAAACAGACTCCTTTGGTTGAGAGACAATCTTGATTATCGACAGAAACATATAGAGTTCCTAACCAGAGAATTATAGTAGAAGAAGCCATTAAAACTCCAAAAGGGAACATTCAAAAAATGGGAAATGGAAAAAATCTGATTAAATCAAAATGAATGTTTATTGAGCATTCATCTAGAAGATAATAAACGAAACGAAT